TATATCTATTGACAAATTATGAATGGAGATATGATGTTAGCATTATCCAATGAACAAATCGATACAGGAGAATTACAACCCAAATTACGTTGTTTAATATGTTATATTGCTGAAAAATCTTCGACAAAAGATACTAATTATCATAAACATGCATCATATTTTACATACTGGTCGACTTTTTCAACATGAAATTATTATTATTGCACGACGATATACAGCTAAATCAACATCATTTTACGTTGAATGTAATACAGATGATTTTATTACATTTTGTCTAGAAATTAAACATTCAACAGGAAAAGTTATTTTGTCTCAATCAGGTTCCAATTCAATTTTTAATCATGAAAAAATATCTTGTACATTTTCTAAACTGGATCTTGATCTAAATCAATTAAATTATATTCATATAAGTGCTGGAGCTCGTACAGTACCTATTCGAAATTTGCTCGTCACTTTTGAAAAACAAATCGATCTCGGGTATTTTTAAAGGACGCGAAGATCCGCGAAGACCCCAAAATCGGGAACTGATGTCATCAATAGATAGAGTTCGGCGAGCTGATTCTACGAAGATCCAAAATGATTAAACGTTAGAGAGATTTTCCAATACACACTTTTTTCTGACCTACGTAGACCCACGAAGACCCATACCTTTTGCCATTAGTAGGCCTCCTCGAGTTAGGTACATACACAAAAAAAACAGGCTTTTATATGCTTGCCTAAGAAAAATAGCACCCATGTACTTTTTAAATATTAAGTCTTATAATTGAATTTCGCATATTAGTCATTTTTTGTGCGCTATGACCAAACCTGCACCATAAAGTAGTCGTCAGGTTTTGTTCAATCTAAGATATTAGCATTGAAGGAAGAATTTTGTGAATTTTGACGCAAGCTGTTTTGAAAAATATTGAACTCTTGGTTTTTTGTGGATGTTTTACGAAAAGTCCTACACACCTACATTTCGACCAATGGGGATCTTGACAAGACCATATCTCAAGAGCATTTTTACCGATTGAGCTAAAATTTTTTTGTGGATATATATCTTTATGATTTTTACCTAAGATAAAATTTTCAACTCAAAACATTCAGTCCTTAATTTTTAATGACTCATCCAACATGGACTAAAGTCCACATTTTCGACTACTTCCATGATTCGTAACTCGTGATTGGAACATGATAGAGGACCAAAATTTTTACTGGCGCCAGAGTTCATAGAGTTCTATCTTTGCTAAAAATTTCAATCCTTCAATCCTTACTTTCAGCCAGTAGGATCCTCTCGAAAATGGTTTTTTCAACAAAACCCTGATTCTCAAGCGAGGTCTGAGTGTGCATGTGAATGTGGGTATGACTCAAGAGAAAAGATCCACACTCACACCCACACCCTCATGTATCGTATTGATGTAGGAATTTTTCATTCACTTGTTATTATTATTTACACACGCGCATTGTTTTTAACAACGGCGTCATTGAATGACAGGACACAGGTAAAATTATGAACTAGATCTATAATGATGCATCTAAGTTTGAAGACACATGTACATATATTTGACTCATCCATATGAAGAACTTCTCGAGACTATCACCGTATTTGACATTGCTGGATGATGCAACCTGTACCAACACTATGTGATTATGCTTTATTTCTTGTATGTATTCTTATTCAGTTATGTTTCAGTAAAAGATTTTATTGGTATCGTGACATAATAGCTATGTGTAATGATAAACATGTGCAAGCTTTTAGTGGATTCACTCATGGATATCATTTTGTTAAAATGTATAACTAAAAAAAAAATTGGCAGATCATATAGTTCAAATGTCGGAATAGAGTGTGCATGTAGACGCAGAAGTGTCTCTTTTATATCTACATCCGTTATTTCTACAAATGTGCATCAATCAATAATCGTCTTTCTCTCTCGCATTTTGAAGGCATTATCGAGAAAATATGCAAGAACATGCAAATTATTGACATTTTTCTTTTGAAAAAAAAGCAAAGCAAACAATGGACAATGACTTGGTTCCATTACTTATTCTTGACTACTGTTTCATAGCTTGGTGGAGCATTGTTTTCGTTGAAATCAGGACTTATATTTGTTGGCATTATCATATCATAATTTTGTTGCTGTTGTTGTTGTTCTGGGACTGCTTCTGTACCAACAATAACCGGAATGTTCACTTCAATCTTAGTAAAAATCCCATGCGATTTAACCTTCAGTTTCAGCTCATAATGAACGGTAATATGATGCGAGTAGCCATGATATGATGTCGTGAATGTGTAAGTAGGTGTTAGATAAGTATTAGGTACTAGCAGATCGAAACTACGTTGTAAATGTAACTCGTCGAATTCGCTTAAACCTGGTAGATCGACAGAAAAAATAGTTTCATTGTGACTGTCAACAGCAGTTTTTCTATATTGAATGAAAGTCGCTTCGATCTTTTTGATTTTACTCTGTTCAGGATTGTGAAGATTTATTTGAAAAGAGAGTAACTGACCAGGCATAATGCCGCCACGAAAGAGACAGCATTGTAAACGAAGTCGTTTACGATTCTGATCAGCAAAGGCAAACGTTTCTTGGAGGTCATTCCTCCGAAGAAGATTTATACGAGGAGAAATCGTCAGAAGATGTGTTTGGGTAATGTTTCGTTTGTACCATGGTCTGTCAAAAACGACTCGAGTGTAATATTTAATATGAGGATATGCTTCATTGTTGGGAGCTGACGATGGGGGTAAGTTCTCAGGAAGACTAAATTCAAATGGCCATCTGTATGTGCCACGACTAAGACTCATTTTATGCTACAATAATCTTAAAATAGTAAACATGTATTAACAATGCTATCAATAACTTCTTACTTGTTTATTGTTTGGTCGAGCAAGAAGTACAGTTAGAGTCAAAAATGGTATGTGATGGTATTCAGTATAGTGTTCTGTGGTCGAGTTCCCATTAGAATCAGTAGAAGAGCGACTCTCTTGTGTTTTATAACCAAGTTCACCGACGAGTTCGACAAATATCTCATCCAATTTCAGTCTATCATGATCATTTTGAAACAATATATTACCTGATATTTGTTCACCCACGAAGTAAAAATCGTTTGAGCGATTGAATTTCGTTTGAATAGCTATACTTTCGCCTGCGCCCATTGTTACTATTAATAATGCGACTATTTGATAACTCGTCTATTAGAACGGCAACAGCACGTTTATATTATGAAGAAATACAACATATGCATGTGCGTAGCTTCATAAATACTATGACGAAATAACGTCATAGTGATTCATGCTATCTGTTTCTTCTTCATCGCACGAAGTGTATCGAGTTACGCACGTTTGTTGATGATTCGAATAGTCAACTATTCGTATTCTCTCAAGGTTGGGATAAATAGATGAGAGTGGGTTGGCGTGTGAAGAAAAGATCCACATCTATCCTCGCTTGCATCAGACAATTCAGCGCCTGCCAGTCAAATCTTCTACCAAGCATGTCTTGATAAATACAGATAAAATGTTCAAACGTGAATTGCAAGATAAAATGTGACCGTAAGTCTTATAGTCAACCAAACCAGTACATTCACACCCCACCCACGTTGTGTATCTTGATACAAGTGAGATTTTACTTAGTGTGGGGAGCATAAATGTATATATAAGAGAACAAAAGCTGACATTAAGAATGATAAATGGCATACTTGAGACTATAAATTGTAGAAAATATGGTAGAAAATGTTATGAGTTTGCAAAAAATCTTAGACATGTCATGGAGTGTTATGGTATAGGTTCTATAGTGAAAAATTATAATTTTCTCTATATTTTTGTTTTTTTGGATATTTTCTCTACATTTATACTGATCATTGCCCACAGAGATGGACAAAATCGCACCGCGCCTCCCCGCGTTTCCCCGCGCCGTTGCTCACGCCTGCGCTACACTAGTCTGAGTTTCGATGAGCGCATGCTTAGAGCATCCCGGTACTCGGTGAAGTTTGAGAAACTGATTGGTAGAGCAAAGAGAAAGAGAGATGTGCGTAGCGCCTAGGCGCGAGCAGTGGCGCGGGGAGGCGCGGTGCGATTTTGTCCATCTCTGATTGCCCACATATAAAGCTTCTACTGTAAAATATACTGTAAAGTGATCATTTGTTACTTAGTTTTACTTAATTCTATCTGTAAGATGATAAATGTAGAGGAGATGTCAAAAATTATGAATTTATTCTAGTTCGACTTCCATCATTTATTGTACCGCGCTGGAGCGTTTTGGATAAGTTTAGGTGTGAGTAAGGGTGTTGGTCTGAATGTTGATGAGTATGTTACTCTTCTCTTCATCCACAGTCACCACTCCAGTTGAGATAATCAAAATCACTTGCTGCTATATTTCCAGCTAATATAATAATCGTTAGATCAACTTTTTTCATTTTGCGATGGATCATTTTAATCATAGTTGAACATTCTCGTGTGCCCATTAGATCAAGAAACGAATCATATGTGTCATTTGAATGCGCTGCTCGTTTATATAATGTACTATTCGATTTACATTCAGAACGTAGTCAGTTTGCGACCAAACTCGGTTCGTTCCTTATTTCTTATGCTAAATCTGTTGAACAAGACGTCGCAAAAAAAGCTCATGGCATCAGTATAATCATAATAGACTTTTTGGGTGAGACATGATGTTTGATCAAGCTGAATAATGATTTTCATACTGTCTCGTCAAGGTGCACGAGAGTGAATGTTCCAATTATCAATGTGTCCTGCTGAAAATTCATTTTTACCCTGTGTTTCTAACTATTGTCAAAACATTCGCACACAAAAACAACTGCCGCACCAATGTTTTGTAGTAGATCTGTGTGTTGTGCAATATATACATCAAGAGCTTGTACTCCAAACGACTATTGTGCTGTTGATACATAGAGCCATCATAGTAGTATATCTGAGCTGCACATTATTGTATGCATATACTTCTTCTCAACGTAATAATTTAAAGTCAGGTCACATTGCCAAATGAGAATGAAACGATGCTTTTGTACTTGCTATTATCCAAGATCTATGATGTAGAAAATATAGTTCGACTTTTATCACGCGCATGTATAAAATTGAAATCCTGATATTTACTTGA